CTGGGACTGCGGGTCCTGGTGCCCCGCTTCAACCCTCTGCAGAGTCAGGTTGGTTCTGAGACAGAACGGACGGCTTCATGCCCATGCAGGCAAGCAAGAGAAGTGAGCGGGGCCATGCACGCACCAGAGTGTGTGGATGCAGGAATCCTTGAATAGCCGTGTGCATGCATGGGAATGTGCATGTGTGTGTGCATGAGGAAACGGAGCAGGAATCAATGAATAGACGCATGTAAGAATAAATGGATGGATGCAAGAAAGAATGAGGGAGTGGGCTCATACATGCATCGGGGAGTGTTGGATGCCTGAATCAGAGAATAACTGCATGCATGGAGATGGGTGTGTGCATGCACGAGAGAAAGGAGGTAGGAATCAATGAACATACGTGCATGAAAGAATGAGTGCGTGTGTGCCTGCATGCCTGGAGCAGGGAATGGGTGCTTGGTGCATGAATGGATGGGGTTGGGATGTGTGTGTGTGAGTGAATGAATGTGTTAACTAATGAATGAATTAATTAATGGGTGATACTTGAGTCAATGAATAAATGGTTGAACATGCATGAAACAATGGGTGAATAAATGAGTGGGTGCATGTTTGCGGGCCTGAATTAATGATGGTGTGTGAATCAACTAACGAATGCACACATTCTCAAGTGAATGGGCTGAGGCTGAGGGTGATTAAAAGCGTAGGCCCGGGCTGAAGAGACAGGACAGCAGGTCAGGCATTTTGCCTTGCACACGGCTGACATGGGTTTAATCCCCAGCAGCCTAGGCCCTGCCAGGAGTGATCCCTGAGCACCGAGCCAGGAGTAAGGTGAGTGGGACCTCTCTGCCTGGCCTTGACTCCGTGCGAGCTTACCCGAGTGATTAACCTCTCAGACCCTCGCTGTCCCCACCTGTGGAAGGGGGTGACAGGTCTGGGGTGCTTATCCCCCTCTCCCCCCACCGCCATGCTGGGGGCGAAGGCACAGTGATGCAATGGCACACAGCTGGCCCAGAGCCACGTCCTTTTTTTTTTTTTTTTTTTTTTGCTTTTTTGGGTCACATCCGGCGATGCTCAGGGGTTTCTCCTGGCTTTAAACTCAGGAATCCGCCCGCTCCTCTCTGGAAAGAAAGATGGCGGCCGCACGGGAGCCTTGTGGACAGCAGTTTCAAGCCGGGGGTGGGGGGCGGCAGGGGCCTCATGGGAAGGGGGGCGTTCTGGGCCATCCTTCATGCCCGACCGAGGTCACCAGCTGCCCCCCAAGAGCGGCTCTCTGGCACGGCCACGGCCCCGGAGGCACCAGGACTTAGCAGAGAGCCACCCACTTGGAGCAGAAAAGCAAATGGACTATGTGTTAAACCGCGCCAGCATGCCTGCCCGGAGGGGAAAGGGTGTTGACCCACTCGCCCGCTCCTCTCTGGAAAGAAAGATGGCGGCCGCACGGGAGCCTTGTGGACAGCAGGTTTGAGCCGGGGGTGGGGGGCGGCAGGGGCCTCATGGGAAGGGGGGCGTTTTGGGCCGTCCTTCACGCCCAACCGAGGTCACCAGCTGCCCCCCACGAGTGGCTCTCCGGCACGGCCACGACTCCAGAGCACAGAAACCAATCTCTTAACTATCTATCTTTTAATAGAAATTCTTCCAGGGTTAATAAGTAAAATAGCAGAAATCCAAAACCGTGCGGCCGCGACATCATTTTATTCTTAAACCCAGCTGTAGAAAGCAAATCATTTCACAACGCTGTTTCAGCATATCTGATTGGGGTGGGGGGGTCGTAAACTCTAAACAATAATTGTGCATCTTCTATCGAAACAATGTATCTAGTCAAAGTAGATAGAGTATTAACTAGAACTCATCTGCCTCACAGGAATTGGGAGGGGTGGGAGGTGGGGTTCTATTGGGGTTCGCGGTTAAAAATAAGTATTGGTAAAGGGAAATGTGTTTGATACTTACATGACTGAGACCTAAACCCTAAAGCTCTGTAACTTTTCCCACAGTGATTCAATAAAGAAATAAATTATTTAAAAAAATAATAAAAATAAACTCAGGAATCACTCTGGTGTGCCCAGGGGACCCTGTGGGATGCCGGGAATCAAACCTGGGTCAGCCACGTGCAAGGCAAACGCCCTCCCTGCTGTGCTATCGCTCCAGCCCCCCAGAGCCGCGTCCTTGTCCCAGCTCTTCTGCCAGTCGCACCTCTCACCAGGAGACCCCACCCACGTCCAGTTTCATGCGACCTCACACTTGAACCTTTGCTCCAGCCACGATCTGAGACCCTGCAGTATGCGCTGTGTCCACCAGAGGGCACTCCTCACCCAGGCTCCCTGGCTCCTGCCTTTGACTTCCCTAAACCCGCCTTGAGGCCCCAAGAGCCGATTTGGAGATAAACACCCGGTGAGAACTGTGGAGAACTGTGGGGAGACAGGGAAGCCGGTTTACTGTAGCTTTACTTTTTAAACTTTTTATTTTAGAGGGGGGGCACACCCAGCAGTACTCAGGACTTACTCCTGGACCTGTGTTCCGGGATCACTCCTGGCTGTGCTCCAGGGCCCCTATGGGGTGCTGAGGCTCGAACCTGAGTCAGCCACGTGCAAGACAAGCGCCCTCCTGGCTGTGCTATTTCTCCAGCTCCAGCAGGTCTACTTTAAAAGATGAGACAGATGGAGCTTTGGGGTCAGAGGAAAATTCCCAGCGGCCAGTCTGAGGGGTCTTCCCTGCCATCAGCAGTCCCGGCCCAGCTCCGTGCCCAGGGGGTCCCCGTCCCCCTAGAAGAATCCTGGCAGGATGAGGAACCCACATGGGGGTCAGGCTTGTCACAGACGGAGGTGTTGGGGCCCCACCTTGGCGGTCGGGCTTATCCCTCTTCTCCCACTGGAGGAGGGGGGGTGGTCATGGGGGCTTCCCCTGTCCGCGGCCCCCCAGTGCCCCCGGGGCAGACTGCATGGAAGGGTGGGCTGGGGGAGGGGGTGCCTGTCCAGCTTCAGGAAACAGACTGGGGTGCTGGCCAGAGGCCTTCCAGGAGGACCAGACCACCGCAGGGCTGTGGGCGGGGAGCAGGGGCTGTTGTTTCACCGCAACCCCCCCTCCGGCCCTCCCCGCCCCCCAGCAGCCACCAGAGGCTTAGGGAAGGGGCTCTCAGGTCCCTTGTGCTCAGGGGGTGGACAGGATACCCGGAGAAGGGACTGGAGGGAGGGGAGGGGAGGGGAGAGGAGTTGATGAAAGGGGAAGAGAGGGGAGGGGAGGGGAGGGATGGCAGGGGGGTCGCTTCTTGCCCCTAAGGATAACCTGGTCCTGCTAACCCACGTCCACTGGGGAGAGGGGGGCAGGGGGCCACACGTGGCTGTGCTCTGGGGCTCCCTATGGTACCGGGGATTCACACCCTGCCCCAGTCCGCCCTTTGACCCCGCAGATGGGGGGGGAAGCGGGGGCCTGGGGCCCTTTAGAAGTCCCTGGGCAGCGACCCGCAGCGCCCCACCCCGCCCAGGCCGGCCGCGGGGAGGGGCAGGAGCGGCCGCAGCCGGTCGGGGCCGGCTCGCCCGGGGCAGCGGAGCGAGTGGAGGGACGCGGGGGCGGGGCTTGCGGCCGGGAGGCGGCCTGTGATTGGCTGGCGCTGGGGCGGGCCCTCCGGAGTGACGTGTACGGGCTCCGCCCCCGAGGCCCCACCTTGGGCACCCGCGGCAGCCCTGGGGGCGCGGGGTGCGGGGTGCGGGGAACCCTGGCACCCCCCGAGGCAGGTGAAGGACGCCCCCAGCCTCCTCCACCCTCAGTCCCCCGCCCTTGTTTGGTTCCTGGGCAGATCTGTCCCCCTGAGTTTGGGGACCCAGCACCTCATCGTCCCCCTGGCCTGAGAACTTCGCCTGGGGGGCCGCGACCCTGCATCTGGGCCCTGGGGGGGGAGCACTGGGGAGCCTGCGAAGGGCTCCCAGCGCTCACCCCCCCTCCTCCAGGCCCCCCACTCATTGGCCTGGTGCGGCTCCTCTTCTTCTCTTTCCCCGCAGGCGGCATGCCAGCCTCCCACCGGGAAAGGGACAGTGACAGCAAGGGCTGTGGGCTGGAGACAGGCATGGCCGGACAGGAGGCTCCGGCCACGCGCTGTGACCGTCCTGGTCTGTGACCGTCATGGGCTCTGACCCGCACGGCGGGTCCTGGCAGAGCTAAAAAGCCTGAGAACTCGGTGCTGGCCCCTCCAGCCAGAGAGAGGACATTTCCCGGCGTCTAGTGGGCAGCCCAGGTTGACAACAGAGGGGTCAGCGTCCCCATTTCCCAAGGGCACGTTACCCCCTCACCCCCCTGCCCTGAGCACCTCTCTTTCACAGAGACCCTGAACAGCCTATCTGGGGGCGGGGGGCAGAATCTGGGGAGCTACTGGGGTGTCACTGTGTGCTGGGCTGCAGCTCTGGGTGAGGGACACAGCCCACCCAGCACCTCCTGGGCTCCAGAAAATGCTGGGTCTGGGGAGAAGGGTGAGGCAGCAGACTCGGTGCTCCATCACAAGTGGGCTGTCTACAGGCTGCAGCCTCGCCCCATTTCCTACCCACAGCTCTGGCCATGGCCCCCTCCCTGGCTTTGTGGGGGAGGGGAGGTGATGCTGGAGCCTGGACCAGCTCGTTTGGGAGGACTGGACCTGCCCTTTAGAATAAACCCCCAACTAAGATGAACTGGGATCGGGGCTGGAGCGATAGCACAGCGGGGAGGGCGCCCTGTTTGCCTTGCACACGGCCAACCCGGGTTCGATTCCCAGCATCCCATAGGGTCCCCTGAGCACCACCAGGAGTATCGCCGGGTGTGACCCAAAAGAAAATTAAAAAAAAAAAAAGATGAACTGGTATCAGACTCGGAGGCCCAGAAGCCCCAGGGTGCCAGTTAAAATGCCTACTAGGGGGTGACAGAATACAGGGTATGTGACTGACCCAGTCCCCCCACCACGTGGCTCAGGGAGCCCCCAGCACCTCCGGCCCGAGCAGCCCTGAACTCCCGAGCACCCCAGGAAGACCATCAATGAACACACAGGGTCAGGGTGTCACTCCCCGCCAGAGGCGGCATTTAATCGTATGCAGTTCTCAGTCCCCACTCCGAGCGTGCGGTTTGGGGTGTGCAACTCCGGGTCCCTCTCAGGCCTCGTTTCCAGCCCATCCGGCTCCTTCTGGCACAGGTGGGCTCCCGAGAAGGTGCCGCTCTTCCCCCCAGACACGGCCCTGGCACGGCAAGGGGGGATGCTAGCGGGCCGGGGTGGGGCCCTCCCAGCACCTCTCCAGTCTCCCATCCTGCAGGACTCACGTGGGTTTTGGTTCCTGGGAGAGACGTAGCCTCTGGCCCCTGGGAGGGGTCTACAGACCCCTAACTTAGATTGGGAGTTTGGGGCTCAGCGCACCCCTTCCTTTCTTGGGGGCCAGTGATGCTCCGCCCAGAACTCGGGCAGCCCCAGGTCACAGACCAGTGAATGTAGGGACCCCCCTCAGGGGCTTCTCTGCAGGGCCTGGTCACTGCGTTTTGCTCTGGAGAAGTCCTCCAGCGTCAAAGGCACAGCTGCTGGTGATGGGGAACTGAAGGCTGGCACTGGGCTACGAGGTGAGGTTGGGCGACCTCTGGTGCAGTGACACCCAATCATCTCTGTACCCCTGAAGGTACTGAGGGGAGCCCGAGCTCCAGGGGAGACCCAGAGAAGCACCCTGGGATGCACCAGCTCTGTTCCGTACCCTGGAGGCATCAGATATTCCTGAGACCACAGCGCCTGCCCCCCACCTCCTGTGCTGGGTACCAGCCTCATGCGTGTCCCTAGGACGCCCCACTCTCCTCCTGGGACAGGCCTGGGAGGATGGCAGCCCCAGTGAGGTAAACCTACCAAGCTGCCCTGCGGGAAAGACATGAAGTTCCACCCTGGCTGTCCCCCACCCAAGACCGTCTCTGTGCCCCCATCTTCATGCATCCTGTCCACCTGGCCCAGGCCAGAACTAGTCCGGGAATGCAGGTCCAGCCAGGGATCACAATACACGGGGGTTTGTGAGAGGGAGGTGGGACCCAGGACCCTCTGGCCATGCAGAGGACCCATGTCTCTCCTGGCCCTGCATGAACCCCCTGGCCCTGGCAGCCTCTGGGGTCTGCAAGGGGGCAGGACCCCGGCAGGAGGTGCAAAACCAGCCTCACCAGAGCTGGGCCCAAAGGCCCTGCAGCAGAGCTGGCCCTGGGCGCAGCGAGGAACATGCTGACACTGGACATCCAGGGAGGTCCATGGGTGAGGACCAGCGTCCAAGGGGGCCCATCTGGAGCACAGAATGCGGGGGGCGCAGAGGCAGCGATGGAGGGGAGCAGGCTGGGGGAGGGGGGCTGCAGAACTCCTGTGGGGAGCAGGAGGGGGTGGTGACACAGCCCCAGCCTCACATTGGGGGTGCCCAGTGCCCCCTCAGCCACTGCTCCCCATCGGTGGCCTCCAGCCAGCTTCAACGACAAACGAGGAAAGAGGCCATCAGGTGGTGGCGGTCCGGGAAGAGGGCGTTACCATCTCGTTTTATTTTGCGGGGACTGACCCTAAAGCAACCAGAGAGAAGAGTCAGGGACCGGCTGAGCGCAGAGCAGAGGGGGCCGTCCCTCCCGCCTCGCCTGCGCACCCACAGGACATTTCTTCCTCAGTCCGGTCAGAAATAGCTTCTGGCTCTGCAGGAGAACCGTTCCCAGGCCTGGGAGGGGCAGTGGCAGCCCCCTGGGCAGTGCCCCCGGGTCAAGCTGTGCCCCTGCTGGGCAGGCACCCAGAAGACCTGCCCAGTGACACAGGAGCTAATTCCCCAGGCCCACTGAAACTAAAAGTTTTGTTTGCAGGGACTGGAGCCATAATACAGCGGGGAGTGTTTGCCTTGCACGCAGCTGACCCAGGCTCGACCCCCAGCATCCAATCTGGTCCCCCAAGCAATGCCAGGAGTAATTCCTGAGTGCAGAGCCAGGAGTAAGTCCTGAGCATCGCTGAGTGTGACCCCCAAAAAAGCCAAAAACAACAACAACAAAAGAAATGTTAGGGGCTGGATCGATAGCACAGCGGGTAGGGCATTCGCCTTGCACGCGGCCGACCAGGGTTCGATTCCCAGCATCCCACATGGTCCCCCGAGCACCGCCAGGAGTAACCCCTGTGCATCGCCGGGTGTGACCCAAAAAGTAAAATAAATAAATTTAAAAATGAAAAAAAAAAAAGGTTTGCTTCCCTGGGCCATTCGCAGCAATGCTCAGGAGGTGCCTCTGACTCAGTGCTGGGGGCGTCGCTCCAGGCGGTGACAGGGATGAACTCGGCCCCCTGAATGCCAAGCCTGTGCTCTCTCCCCACCTGACCCTAAAACGGTAGGTCTGGCAAAAGAAGACAGGGCCATCTGGTACACTTGGGGGGGGGGGGGAAGACAGCCCCGGGAACTGAAGTGTGCCAGCAGCATGGAGAGGCTTTGCTCCCCACAAGGTGGGCGGAAACGGCCTTGGCACTGACCCTGCAGGACCACCGACCACACCCATTGCTGACCTGCCCCGCCCATTCCACTGACCGCGCCCCTTGCGCGGAGGCCCCGCCCCTTTGGCAGTAAGCTCCGCCCTCGCCTCCTGGCTACACTGGACCAGCAGCGTGAGCTGGACTAGGTTCACGCCATCCCCCTGCAAGGGGTCCCCTGTCTGCCACTGCCTGATGCGGTGGCCTGCTCCGCCCAGGAGAAAGCCGGGGTCCCAACAGCCAGATCCAGTCTAGGCCCTGGGTCCCCCATCCCCCCAATGGCCCACCCACGCACCCCAAGGAGCCCCCAGGCCCCGCTGCGCACCCTTGCAGAAGCCCAGCGACTCAGCGGCACAGCAGAGAAACAGCAGCGGCGGGAGAGTCCAAGCAGCCAGGGGAGATGGGGGGCCCACGTCCCACCGCCGTAAGCAGCTGAAAGCCACCGAAAACCCAGCGCCCCTTCAGAAATAGACGCCCAGAGGAAGTTAATAAAGCAGAAACTTGTTTATTTCAGGCCCCTGATCCTCACAGAGGAACAAGAGGCCAGACAGACGCCTGAGAAGTCCGGAGGGTGCAGGAAACACCAGAGATGCGAGAACAGAGCTGCATGGCTGCCACCAGCCCCAGAAATACTATTTGGCTTGAGTGAGGGGAGGGATCCCCCAGGAGGAGAGCCCCTGAGTGAAGGCCAGGCTAGCCCCTGGACTCCGCAAACACTGTGGGGAGGGAGCACCAGGGCCCACGGCCAATGCGGGCAATTCTGGAAATGGGGGGGTGGGGGCGGTTGTGGACCCCACCCCCCTCCCTCCATGGAGCCTGGGCTTTCTGCAGCGTCCCCGGGCAGGGCCAGGGCCTGCCTCAGTCCCACACGTAGGGGTTCCTAAAGACCTGTGAGCTGCTGCCGTCCGGGGGCGCGGGGGGCTGCACCTCGTACACGTCCTCGGCTCGCAACGTGGAGCTGGCGCTGCCAAGCACCTGAGTGTTGGCGCTGGCTCGCGGAAGGATGACGTCGTAGGCGCCCTCAGACTGGAAGGAAGAACGGGGTCTCACAGCCAGGATCCACGGGCGGCCACACGGGGCAGTTCCCTGCAGGCCACCCCTGGCCACTTGGTGCTCACCCCCCCCCCCACTTCCCAGGGGGCCCTGGGGGCGCTGAGGCCTGAGCCCACCCCGCAAAAGGCCACTGCATGCTCTGGACATAAGGGACGCTGAGCCTGGTCATCCCATCCCCTGGCCCACGGCTCCCCTGAGGGCTGGTTTTGGAGGGGGAAAATGCTCTTATCTCAAACACCGTCCTGTTCCCCAAACCTTGGGGCATGGTGACCCCACACCCCCAGCTGCTGTCTGGCCTAGCTAAGGACAGCTGTGGGCCCCAGGGAACCCCTTCTCGCAACATCCCCCCCCCCTGCCACACACACACACACACACACACACACACACACACACACAGGCTTCTTATCTAGGGGTCTGGGCTGGCCAATCTGCCGCAGCATCTTGGAACCCAAATTCTCTGCCCAGGGCTGGTCAGAGTAGCTGGGGTTGGGTGGAAAGGTGGGGCAGTGAGTCCCGGCTCCATGTCCACTTACCATCCAGGCACCCCACCCCCACCCCCACAGCCTAAGGTCTAACCCAGTCCCTCCCTTTGAAGCTTGGGTACATGGAGATGTGCGTGACCTGAATCACGAGGTCTATTAGTTTTATCCTTTCTTGGACCACTGCCCTGCTCTGTGCTTGGGGGTCTTTTTCAGCAGTGTTGGGGGACCCTCTGCTGCCAGGGATTGAACCTGCATCCACACCTGGGTCATCTGTGTGGGAGGGGAGCTAGCGCCTGACCCCCAGACTCTCCCACCAAGCCCTGGCCACTGTCTGCTACCCTGGGGCTGGACCAGGCGCTGGCTGGCGGCTTCCGGGGGCAGGGACTCCCTGAGACTCCCCGCTAGGCCCTCGCCAGGTGTTCCAGGAGAATCCCCGGAAACAAATGGGGATTTCTTTCTCCTGCTGCATTCCTGACTTGCAGCTGAGGGTCTTAGGGTCGCCCCCTGGGAAGCAGAGATCCAACAAAGCTAAGACCACGCCTTTTGGGAGGGTGGAGGGGGTGTCAGGAGGCACAGCAGGGGGTCCCCCAGCCGTCCCCTCCTCCTCCATCTTCACCCCCACCCCCCAGCAGTGACAGGCTCAGGGGGAGGGGGTGTTTCAGGAAGATTGGCTTCCCGGCCCGGCTGGCTGGGCTGGCTGGCTGGCGCGAGGGGGCCAGAACATCACCCTTGACCTCCCTGGCTTCCTGTTCCCAGCGTCCTGCCAAGCGGGTCCCTGGCCTCTCAGGGAGCCGGCCAGCCCTGCAGGAGGCTCCCAGAAGGAGTGAGACTCTGACCCCCGCTTCCGTTCCCACCACCCCCCACCCCACGGGCGGGGAGCGGGGAGGGCAATGCCCAGCTCCCTGGGGACAGGTGGGGCTGAGAAGTAAATACCTACCCAGGGCGGCTAATTGGTGCCCTGTCCCTGGGGGGGCCCTGAGCAGTATCCGCCTGCCAGTGGCCGCCTCTGTCCCTCCCTAAGCAACCAGGGCTCGGCCCCTCCCACCAGCCCCGGGGGACCCCCTCCTAAGCAGGGCCCCCACCCGCATGATGTAGCTGCACCTCCTAGAAAAGGGGCCTCTGAGATCCCCAAAACTGAGGTCCAAGCCAGAGATCCCTCCCCACCCCCCACCAAGGTAGAGGACTCAGGGCCCAGCCGGTGGCGGGGGACGTGGGGGGGGCGGGGGGACCCCACTCACCGGGCCCCTGTGCATCAAGGCCATCTCTGTGGGCTGGTAGACGCTCGTGAGGAGCTGCCCGTTGTAGCCGCTGTAGGGGGACACTGGCCGCTTCGCTGCAAGGGAGACAGGGACGGTTGGGGGGGGTCAGGCTCCCTCCCCCTCTCTGCAGGGGTCCCAAGAGCAAAGAAAGGGGCGGTGGCAGGTAAGAGCCAGGTTCTGTGGCCTCAAGCCCAGGAGAAAGCTGGGCCACAGGGAGCCAGCTTGGTTCGTTAGGTTTTGCTTTGGGGGTCACACCTGGCAGTGCTCAGGGCTCACTCCTAGCTCGGTGCTCACTCCTGGTGGTGCTCAAGGGACCCTTGGGGGGGTGGGAGGGTGTCGGGGATGGAACCAGGCTGGCCGCGTGCAAGGCCAGCGCCCTCCCCGCTCTGTCATCTCTCCGGCCCTGGGCTTGGGGTGAGGTGGCAGGTGGGGGCTCCCCAGCTCTCTGGAACTGCAGCCTAAAGACCCCCACCAGCCCCCACATCACCTCAGAACACGTTCCATCAGCAACTGCTCACAGCCCCATCCGGGAGGGTCACAGGGCCGCCCTCGCACATGGCCGGGATCCAGACTCAGGGCTGGGGAAATGCAGGGGAGGCCCTTCCTCGGGGGGCAGGGCTGGGCGCCAAGGCCCGGACCCCACCACCAGCCAGAGCCTCGCAGACGCTAAAGGCTCATTCTGCCCCGTGGGAACACAGAATTTTCCAGAACGTGTTCCCGCTCCAGGAATGCTCTGGGACTTAGGCTGGGTCCCTCATTGGTTTCTGGGACCCCAGAGCTGCCGCAGCAGCTGGCTGGTGGGGACCATGCTTTATATATAGGGGCCTCCTAAGTGCCCGGCTCGCTTCATCGATTTTTCCATTTAGGAAAAAAGGAAAAGCAAGAGGAAAAAATGGCCTCTAGTCCCCAGGGTCTGGCTGGGGAGGCCAAAGGCTGAGCACTGCCGGGCCCACCAAGAGAGCCAGGCCTCCAGCCGTGGCCCCTTTCCTTCCTTCCATCCTTCCTTCCTTCCTTCCTTCCTTCCTTCCTTCCTTCCTCCTTCCCTCCCTCCCTTTCTTTCTTTCTTTCTTTCCTTCTTTCCTTTTTTCCTTTTTGGTTTTTGGCCCACAGCCAGTGATGCTCAGGGCTGCCCCTGGCTCCGTGCTCCTGGTGGTACTCAGGGAACCCTGTGGGGTGCTGGGGATCGAACCCAGGTCAGCTGCATGCAAGGCCAACGCCCTCCCCTTTGGTCTATGGCTCCAGCCTCCACAGCCCCGGTCTTACCTACGAGCCCCCTCTCCTTCTGACCACATCACTGCCCCCAACACACTGGGATCCGAGCACACTCAGCGGGTCCCATTCTGTGCCGGGGGGGGGGGGGGGGGGGGGGGGGGGGTGGCGGGAGGAAGGGGCGGGGGCGGGGGCCACTTCCTCTGGAAACCTGATCAAAGCTCAAGGGCCTGGCAGAACCCGGGTCTCCCCAGAAGGGTCATGGTGAAGAAGTGAAGGGTTCTGAGTCCTGCCTCCCTCCCAGCACCCCACTGGACAGTCAATCAGGCCCTTGACCAATATTTTGACCGATACTATGAATCTGGGGTCAGGTCACTGAGGCTGCGTCCCCCCTGCCCCCACCCCAGCTATGGGGGTGAGCACAGAGACGCTGGTGGTCTCAGAAGTGCTGCTGGTTCTCAGCTGTCCCAGAAACACCAGCGGTGGTCAGGGGGTGTCGGCCTGGCTGACACTGCTCAGGGTTCTGAGGTTCCCGGGGATGAGTGTCCAGGAGACTCATCCCTCAGTCCCCCCGCCCCACCCTGCTGCTCCACGAGGGGCTTAGCCCACACTGCTGCCTCCCCCAGCTCGGCTCTGAGCTCCAGAAAGGCCAGGAACGCATGGGGACAGGCAGGCAGGCCCGGTCCCTGTTCTGGCCCGGTCCCTGTTCTGGCCTGGGCTCCAACTCAAAAGGGAAGAATGTAACAGTAAAGCAAAGCCAACTTGAGTGATTCCAAGCAGGTCCGCGGGAAAGAGAGTTCTGGAAGGGCAAGCACAGAAATGAAGTAACTCAGCACCAAGGTGACAATTCTAGAGTGTTTCCCCCCTGCAGGAACAAGACTGGACTTCACGCTCAAAACAAGGTCTACGATGGCCCCTCTTACCGCCTTTTACAGGTGAGGACCCCACGATGACCTCCGTCTTATAGGAAAGAACCCAGGTTCACAGGTAAAAGACAAAGCAGCTGAGGCCAGAGCAATAGCACAGCAGGCAGGATTGCCTTGCATGCGGCAGACCCAGGTTCGATCCCCGGCATCCCACAGGGTCCCCCGAGCACCACCAGGAGTGATGCCTGAGTGCAGAGCCAGGAGTAACCCCTGAGCATCATCAAGTGTGGCCCAAAAACAAACATTCCTGGGGTTGGAATGGGAAGGAAGGGGGTGGGACTGGGGAGACAGCGAGGGGTGGGTTTTGTTTTATCTGTAATACTTGAGAATTTATAAGGAAAAAATAATGGCGGGAAGGAGTTCCAGGGATCAAAACTGGAGTTCATGCAAGGCAGACTCTCAACCAGCAGACCACATTCCCGGCCCCATTTTTATATACATAGAAGACTCGGGGTTTTCATAAGGACACTGAGTCTGAAGGAAAAGACTTTAGTACATGGAACTTCAGGACTTGGGGGCAGAAAAATGTCATCATCTCAAGAACTTTCCATTGAAGACCAGAGTGACAGAACAGAATGTGAAGGCGTTTGCCTCATCCTGCCAACCCAGGTTCAAAGCTCCAACACCAACCACATATGGTCCCCAAGCACTGTCGAGGGTCACCCCTGAGCACCACTGGGAAGGGCTCCGGAATTCCCAAAACACAAAATCAAAATAGCAAACAAAAATGGGGTGGGGAGTGGGAGGGGCTGGGGCGATAGCACAGCGGGTACGGCGTTTGCCTTGCACGCGCCCAACCCAGGTTCAATCCCCCGGCATCCCACAGGGTCCCCTGAGCCCCGCCAGGAGTAATCTCTGAGCTCAGAGCCTGGAGTAACCTCTGAGCATCACCAGGTGTGACCCAAAAACTAAAACTCAAAAAGTTGGTCTGCAGAGATAGTCTAGGGGTTCAAGAAGCACCTGCCCTGAATGAGATTGAATCCCTGAGACACACAGGGTCCCCCAAGCACCACGAGAGCCAGGAATAAGCCCTGAGCATGGTCAGGTGTCGGCCCCTCAAAACAAGCTCCCAGGGGCTGGAGAGATAGCACAGCAGGTAGGGCATTTGCCTTGCCCACGGCCGACCCGGGTTCGATTCCCAGCATCCCATATGGTCCCCTGAGCACCGCCAGGAGTAACTCCTGAGTGCAGAGCCAGGAGTAACCCCTGTGCATCGCCGGGTGTGACCCAAAAAGAAAAAAAAAAAAAAGCTCCCAGACACATTCACAAAAAGAACTTTTCAGGGGCAGGAGCAATAGTACAGTGGGTAGGACGTTAGCCTTGCACACAACCAACCCAAGTTCAATCCCTGGCATCCCATAAGGTCCCCCAAGCACCACCAGGAGTAATTCCTGAGTGCAGAGCCAGTAGTAATCCCTGAGCATCACCAGGTGTGACCCAAAAAGAAAAAGGGGGGGAGGGGCTGGAGCGATAGCACAGCGGGTAGGGCGTTTCCCTTGCACACCGCTGACCCAGGTTCAATTCCCAGCATCCTCTATGGTCCCCCAAGCACCGCCAGGGGTAATTCTTGACTGCAGAGCCAGGAGTAACCCTGTGCATCACGGGGTGTGACCCAAAAAGGAAAAAAAAAAAAAAAAGAATTTTTCGTTATGTCCCAGTAAGTGCTAGGGGCGTCCGAGGGACCAACCTACCTGCGGCTGGTTCATCCATGGAAAACGCCTTGTTCTCCACGAACATGCTCTGTCCCTTCTGCTCCTTCAAGATGGTCTCATAGCCCACGCCCCGGGTCGGGTACATGTCCCCCTGATAGCTCTGCTCCGGGCCGGGCTTGGTCACCTGCGAGATCTCGGGGATGACGTAGAAGAGGACGAAGGCCCAGGCATTGGCGGCGAGGGCGATGGCCAGCGTGGGGTCGTCCCAGGTGGGGCTGTCCTGCTGCCGGTTGCCATAGGTGTACATGACGATCCACACGACCCACACGGCGATGGACGTGGCCGTGGCCAGCAGCACGAAGACGCCGTGGCGCCGCCAGCGCCGGAAGCGGCCACACAGGGCCGGCCAGGCGCCCGTGAAGGCGGCCAGCAGCAGCAGCATCACGTAGATGAGCGCCATGACGAAGTCCACGTTGGCGATGGCGCAGGGCGAGGCCCTCACGCCGCCACCAACGCCAAGGCCCACTGTGCTGCGGTTGCCCGTGGGGCCGCCCTCGCCCGCCGCACGCAGCAGCGTGATGATGAGCCACTCGGTGTTGATGATCACCTCCACCAGGGTCAGCAGCAGTGCCACGGTGAAGACCACCCAGCCGCGCGGCCCGTGGTTCTTCCGGGCCAGGAAGTTGAGGGCCAGCACGTGTGCCACCAGGCAGGAGAAGCAGATGGCGAAGAGAACCCCGAAGAGGAAGCGCCGCGAGGCGCAGGTGGAGAAGTCGGGCTTGACCACGCAGGCGAACACCAGGCAGAAGAGGCCCAGGTTGCCCAGCAGGAAGAAGACCTGCGTGCCCAGCAGGCTGCGCTTCTTGGTGTCCTGCACGAACGGCAGGCTGGCCACCAGGACGATGGTCAGCACGAAGGTGGTGATGATTCCCGCCCCGGCCACCGCCTCCAGGATGATGCCCCAGGCCCCAGAGCGATCACACAGGTTGTAGTAGAGGGGGCTGAGGTCCGGGCTGCAGCCGGGGGGTGCGTGGTTCTGGGCTCCCACTCCTGGGAGCAGGAAGAGAAGCCCCAGGGAGCCAAGCAAGGTCTGTCGCTGGTCAGCCATCCCGAGGGCCAGGCCCCGCGCCCACGGGATCCCTGCAACAGGAGGAGAAAAGGCACAGATGAGCCCTCCCGGACCAGGGCCAGCACCCCCTCACTGCCAGCCCACTGGCAGCCAGGACAGACGGCACTGGGGTTTCTGGTGCCCCCTTCTGAGCCTCGCCACCCTTCCACAGAATTCCAGGAAGGCAAATCAGCTATCCCGGGCCCCAGGAGGGAGAACCCAAGTGTCTCCCCCATTCCAAATCCACTCAAAACCAGGCAGTTCTCGGGGGCTGGAGCGATAGTACAGAGGGGAGGGCATCTGCCTTGCACGCAGTCAGCCCAGGTTCAATCTCTGGCATCCCATAGGGTCTCCCAAGCACTGTCAGGACTGATTCCTGAGTGGAGAGCCAGGAGGAACCCCTGAGCATCACTGGATGTGGCCCAACCTCTACCCCCCCCAAAAAAAAGTTAAAGTAAATTAAAATGCTTCTTTGTGGGGCTGGAGCAATAGCACAGCGAGTAGGGCATTTGCCTTGCATGCGGCCGACCCAGGTTCGATTCCCAGCATACTACATGGTCCCCCGAGCACTGCCAGGAGTGATTCCTGAGTGCATGAACCAGGAGTAACTCCTGTGCATCGCCGGGTGTGACCCAAAAAAGCAAATATAAATGAATAAATAAATAAAGTGCTTCTCTGAGGTCAGAGAGAGACCACAGCAGGTAGGGCATTTGCTTTGCACGTGGCCAACCCAGTTTTGATCCCCAACATCCCAGACAGTCCCCTAATTCCCCAATCACCACGAATCATTCCTGAGTGCAGAACGAGGAGCAATCCCTGAGCACCACCCCCAAAAAAAAATGCTTTCAAGGTTTGGGTCACAGCGGGTGGCATTGAGAGACCACTCCTACTGGGGCTCAGGAGGGACTGGAACCCAGGTCCTCAGTCGAAAGGCAAACACCTCAATTCCTGTACTATATCTCTGGGTGTAAAAACCTTTTTGTTTTGGGGAGTGCTCAGGGCTGACCCTTGGGTCGGCCATATGCAAGGCAAATGAGTGCCCTCCCCGCTGTACTACCTCTCCGGCCCCAAAGCACTTCTTTTTGGTTCCTAGGTCACACCCTATGGTGCTCAGAGCTGACTCCTGGCTGGGCTCAGGGGACCATACAGGGTGCTGGAGATTGAACTCAAGTCAGCCATTGAAACCCAGTGCAAGGCAAGCACCATGCCTACTGTACTATTGCTCTGGCCCCTGAAACACTTTTTGGGGGTGGTGGGAGGTGCCACACCCAGCATCGCTCAGGGTTTATCCCTGGCTCTGCATTCAGGGCTCACTCCTAGCAGACTCAGGGGACTGTATGGGAGGCCAGGGATCAAACACAGCCTGGTCTCAAGAAAGTCCCTGCTGTATACTATCACTCCAATCGTTTTTTTTTTTTTCATAAAACAGTTTTGAAAGCAAGAACCGGAAAGGGCACAGCAGAACCCAGAGCATGAACCCAGGATGGTCCTGGGCTGTGTAGCTCCAGGGCCAGACGGAGCTTGGATTCCCAGTAGGAAGCCACAGGGATGATATAGAGAAGCTACAAACTTCACCCAAGCACTTCCCAGCCGAAGGCTTCCAGAAGCCCTGGAGGTCGAATGGTAGCACACAGGCAGGCGCTAACATGCAACCGCTAGGGGCCAGAGACTAGGCCGCACTTCCTTGTACGCGAGAGGACCCGAGTTCAACCCTCAGCGCTGCGTATGGACCTTCCTGATCGATTTATTGCACCAACTTCTACAGCCCCAAACTCTCCAGATGCAACTTGTCCACTACCCCAGACCTTCAAGTAGCAATGGCGTCTGCAATTCCACAGGTTATTTCAAGGTCAGTTATGAGTCCACACCCACATGCCATTAGGGCTAGATGGATCTGCTACTGCTGATGAAGCACCCACTGTGCCGAATTTAACAATAAATGTTATCCAGCCGGAGAGAGGTACAGCAGGGAGGGAACTTGCCTTGCATGCAGCCAACCCAGGTCTGATTCCCCAGTATCCCATATGGTCGCTGAGAACTACCAGGAGTGATTCCTGAGTGCAGAGCCAGGAGTAACCCTTGAGCATCGACGGGTGTGGCCCAAAAATGAAAGCAGGAAAGGAAGAAAGTTAGAAAGAAAAAGAAAGAAAGAAAGAAAGAAAGAAAGAAAGAAAGAAAGAAAGAAAGAAGGAAGAAGGGAAGGAGGGAGGGAGGAAGGGAAGGGGAGAAAGAAGGAAGGAAGAAAGGAAGAGAGGGAGGGAGGGAGGGAGGGAGGGAAACTGGGCCGGAGCGATAGTGCAGGATAGTGCAGCAGGGAGGGCGTTTTGCCTTGCACGTGGCCGACCCAGGCTCAACCCCCCCCCCCCCCCCGCATCATCCCATAAGGTCCCCCAAGCACAGCCAGGAGTAATTCCTGAGTGCAGAGCCAGGAGGAACCCCTGAGCATTGTTGGGTGTGACCCAAAAAGCAAAAAAAAAAAAAAAGGAAGGAAGGGTCGTCACAGATGTGCACGCTGATTGGAAAAATAGCACTATGAGATGTGCCACTATCCGTGGCATAAGGCATCCACGGGGGGGGGGGGTGTGTCTTGGAACCATAGATGCGGGGGGGGGGGGTAACTGTAACTCTATTATTTTTATTTCATTGTCCACATGTGGCAGTGCTCAGGGCTCAGGGCTCGGTGTTCAGGGCTCACTCCTGGCAGGATTGGAGTTATCCAGTGCCTCTGACTGAACCCGGATCAGCCACACTGAGGCTAGCCCCCTCCCTGCTGTACCGTGTCTGCACGAGAAACTGTGTCTCTCTCCTTCCCATCCCTCCAGAGCTGGGGAAGGGGCGGGAAGGCTTCAACCCAGCTTTCCTGGGCCAACAGCGACCACTAGTGGTCAGCAGGGGGGGATGACAAGCGGTGACTTCCTCCCTGGGCCAGAGCCGGTTCACCCAAGCGTTCTCAACACTCCTCATTCCTTAGCCTCTAATGGGCAAACAAAATATCTCGGGCTCAGTGGGCAGGAACGGCCCGTAACCGGGACACGGACACTACTACTGGACGCTACTGAAGCCTGTGGACTGGCGAACTGGCCGGCCGTCTGCAAGAGCGACGGGTTTGCTACATGCCTCTGGAAGAGCTTGGGTCTCTTGGCCTCCTGGGCCCCTGCTGTATGTCAACCTTGGCCAAAGTTGATGTTTCATCAATGAACATTCCTTTCTTTCCTTTTGGTTTTGGGGCCACACTCTACAGCGCTCAGGGGCTACTCCTGCTTCTACGCTCTAGGGTCAATAAATCAATACTGGGATTGGAGCAATAGTACAGGGGGTAACGTGTTTGCCTGCACGTGGTCGACCTGGATTCCATCCCCAGCATCCCATAGGGTCCCCTGAGCACCGCCAGGAGTGGTTCCTGAGTGCAGAGCCAGGAATAAACCCTGAGCACCGCCGGGTGTGGTGTGGCCCCCAAAATAAACTAAATTAATGAATGTTTGGGGGGAAGGGGAAAATAAGCCACCCCAGCCGTGAGTGCGCATTAGACTCAGGGGCCCAACAGCAATTTTAAGCAGGGTGGGGGCTTCCGGGGCTGCACCTTGAAATGTGGGGGAGGGCTGGGTTGGGGGAGGGGATGCAGGAAGTGGGGAGGAATCCTGTAGTGCAGAGAAACTCTCTCCAGGTCTCTAATAAATTAACATTTAAAAAAAATTAGCCCACACCCATTGGTGCTCAGGGCTTACTCCTGGCCCTGTGCTCAGGGATCACTCCTGGTGGGGCTCAAGGGACCCTATGGGGTTCCGGGTTCAAATGCAGATCAGTCACATGCAAGGTAAGTGCCCTCCCCACTGTACTATCTCTCCAGGCCCTAAATTAACATTCTTGTAGGCCCCCTCCCCCCAATGAACCAGCCCCAGTGTAACTTAGCTGAACAAAGCCCGTTTCTCCTCCATGGAGACTGGAGTCAGAGACTTTGAGTGTAATCAATAAAGCACAAACTGTATTTACAGGCTCCGGGAAGGGCCGGAGACGGGAGGGCTAATGGGCGCAGAGGGCTATCGACCCACCCCGGAGATCATTTATGGCTGCATGTAACGTGATCCCAGCCACCCCGCCACATCCCAGGAGCTCCTGGGCGCGCAGTAAAATCGGCCAGAACTTGGGGCGCAGGGAGAGCTGTCGTGGGGAGCCCCAAGAGAGTGCCCGCCCAACTCTGGCTGCAGGCACGCCCAGACCCAACAGTTCATGCCCACATGAGAGGGCCCAGCCCAGCGGCGTTTAAGCTGTGGAAGCCGCTAAGATGTAGATGTCTGGGCCCAGCCTGGTGGGACCTACAGCCAGGAGACCTGGGAGGAAAACCCGCCACGGGAAGATGCCACCTGTCAACAGCCAAGGGTGAACACCAACCAGATGCCGCAAGAGATGTGGTGCCAAGGGGCCGGGAGGGGACACTCACGGGACAAGAAGAGGACTGGGATAGGCAGGAATGATGCCAAAAATAAAATTAGATTCAGACGACGGCAAGCTAGAACAGGGTGAAGGTTCCTGCCTCACATGCAGCCGACTCCCACTCCACCCCGGCACCCCATAGGGTCCTCCCCAAGCAGCACCAGGAGGGAGCCCTGAGCACAGAGCCAGGAGTCAGCCCTGAGCACCGCCTGATGTGGCTCCAACCCCTCACCCACCGGCCCCCCTCCCAAAAGCTCACTCCACACAAGGTTCACCAGTTCACCAAGCCAAAAGGAAGTCTGAAAAGGGAGTCAGCGGTCAGCAGGTCCACGGGATTCGGGAGGCCACGGGGAGGAAAGGGGTCGGAGTCGCTGTGAAGGAGATGGAGAGGCCCTAAGCTGGAGGCCTCCGAGCCCAGGCGGAGAAGCGGCTGGAAGGCACACAGGAAATCAATCTGTGGAGGGCGCATGCAGATGGGTTTAAAGATCGAGGCCAAAGGTAAAGTGGTCAGGGCCAAATCTGAGCAATCCTCTCTCTGCAAAAACACTGCACAGACTGCTGGGAGGTGGGGGAAAGAACCCTGGGCCTGGGTTACAAGCTCCGCCCAGCCCCCTGCACCCGCCCACAGTGCCTTCTTGCTGGCGGTCAGGGCCCCAAAGCTTCAGAAGCCACCACAGACCCCAGATCTCTGGGCTCCGGGACCTGGTGCACAGACGTTTCTCCGCTCTGATGGTTTCCTCCTAACTTTACTGCTGGTCCAACAGCGTCTCTGTCAGCCCCCACGGGGCATTCACACAAGCTAACAGTCTCCTCCCTCTGCCCAATCCCGTACTCTGAGGGTACCTGACACCCCCAGCCCCGGATGAAAGCGACCCCACCGCTGAGAGCAGAAAGATGGGTGGGGAAATTGGGCCAGGGGGCCTGGATCTGGTCCAGGACATTGCCTGGGACACCGCCCCCTGGTGGCCAGCACGAAGAGTAACACCAAGGTGGCTGAGCAGAGCTCAGCCCTTGGCGACCAGCTGGGCACCCAACAGGACCTTTGAAGTCACAGAGAAGGGCTTTAATAAAGGAGTCCAGGAGCAGGAAGGGCAATTGCCCTGCACACGTTTCGATCCCCAGCATCCCATACAGTCCCTCCATACGCCTCTAGGAGTAATTGCTGAACATCAGTTCGTATGGCCCAACACGCACAAAAAAAAATTAAAAATAACTAAGTAACGGGCCCAACTCTGCATAGACCCCCTCTCCTGCTCCTGCACTTCCAGGGACACAGTCCCGGAACCACGTAGAGGGTCTCCCACGCCCCAGACCTTGGACACAAAAGGCATTTAAAAACCATTTCTCCTACGGGGCTGGAGGATAGTAAAGCGGGGAGGACGCTTGCCTTGCACGCAGCTGACCCAGGTTCGATCCCTGGCATCCCATAGAGTCCCCCAGAGCCCTGCCAGGAGTGATTCCTGAGCAGACAGCCAGGAGTAAGCCCTGAGCATCACCAGGTGTGGCCCAAAACAAAATTTTAAAAAAAATTTTAAAGGGGGCAGGAGCAATAAGTGGGGCACTTACCTTACTTGTGACCGACCAGCATTTGGTCCCTGGCACCCCGTATGGTTCCCCCCAAGTCCCTTCAGGAGTGATCTCTGAGCACAGAGCCAGATATAAGTCCTGAACACCAGTGTATGACGCCAAAATCCAAAACCATTCCTCCAGAGAGATGGTCTGGGGCAGGCCTGGGTTTAATATCTGGCACCCAATATGGTCCCCCAGCACCTCCTGGGCTTAGAGCCAGGAACAGCATCTGAGTAGCACCAGCATGGCCCAAACTTCACCCCCAAACCCCAATATATAAATGAACCAAAATGAAAACCATAGCTGGGTCAGAGAGCTCACCCAATGGGCTGAGCACACCCTTTCCCTGAAGAGAGGCTGGGTTTGATCACAAGTACCACCAGGTAAGGCCCCCCAGCACCACCAAGAGTAACCCCTGGAGGTCCCCCGCCCCCAAGCTATGAGCCAGGAGTAGCCCCAAGTACTGCTGAGTGTAAAAACCCCAAAACCAAACCAAACAAATCCCCCCTCACAGTTCCTGTGTCTCTCCCAGACACGCTTCCTTAAACATCAGTTTAAGGTTCTTTTTTTATTGGCTTTTTTGGGGTGGGGAGGGGTCACACCTGGTGATACTCGGGAGTTATTCCAGGCTCTGCACTTGGGAATTACTCCTGGCCGGTGGATGCTGGGGATCAAACCGGGGTCAGCCACATGCAAGGCAAACAAATGCTCTCCCGGCTGTCCTATCATTATGGCCCCGTTTAAGGTTCTTGAAAAGACCTAGGATGTGGGAGGTGGGTCGGAGACCACCCTTCAGTCCAAAGTGCCCCCAAACTACAGCTGGAGCCCCGGGTCCCATCCTCAGATGATTTTCTAGACTACGGGGCCCTGTGGCTTCACCTTCTGGGAATGGGTCACCTCTGAATCCTTTCCCAGGTTGACCACTCCCCACAGCTTGGGGAGAGGAGCGGTGTCACGCAGATGTCCCAGAACCCCCTTCCTCCTTCCGTCCCTCCTCAGGAGAGCAGAGGAGTGCCTCTGCAGAGTGGGGGTGGGGTGGAGCTCAAGCCCCTAACCCACACAACCCCTTCCTTCTGCACCAACTCAGCGGGCGGGGCCCACTCCTGCACCTCCACCCATCCCCCCCAACAGCACTCCACCCCCAACCACACATGAAGGCACACAGGGGTGACCTCCAGAAACCCAGAACCAGGGTCCAGTACATTCTCTGATCGAGATGGGCCTTTCTTCCCCCCCTCCTTTTTTTGAGGGGTGGAGGTGGGCCACACCCGGCGATGCTCAGAGCTTACTCTTGGCTCTGCACTCAGGGATCACTCCTGGCGGGCTTGGGGGACCATATGGGATGCTGGGGCTCCCACCCGGGTCGGGTACAAGCGCCCTTACTGCTCTCTCTCTCTGACCCAGTAAGTGCGTGTCCAAGTCACTGTTTACCTGGAGATAAACGTTGTTACTGAGGATGGACTCCCGGCCCCCGCCCCCAGTCTGGGGTTTAAAAGGGAGCAGAAAACGCAGTAAAGGGGTCGAGGGGGCGGGGGCCGGGGGTCCGCAGAAGCCCCGGCTGCCGGAGGGAAAGATTGGAGCGCTTCCGAACCGTCTGAGATTCCAAACTCCCGGCAGGAGGGTTCCGAGCCCGCCCTTGCACCGCGCTCCCCCGCGCGTCCCCGCGCCAAGCGTCAGGAACCGCCGCCCTCCCCCACCCCCCTACTTATTCAGGCCCTCCCGGGGCGCGGGGGCCCGGCCTGGGCGCACCGGGGGCGCCCCTCGGAGACCCCGACGGTGGAATCCCGCCCCCGCCCCGCAGAGGCCCGCGGGCTCCGGTTTTGGAAACTTTCCGCGGCCGAGCGGAGTTGGAGGCGGCGTCCCCCGCGCACCCCCGCGCGCCCGGGCCCCGGGATCCCCCGCTCCCACTCCGGGGCCTCTCCGGGCCCCGCTCCCGACGCTTCCGGGCGGCGACCGCCCTTACCTGGGCTGTGGCGCGGCGTCGGGGGCCCGACCCGGTCCCCCGCGGGGCGCGATCGCGGGTGGGAGGGCGCGGGGCGCGGGGGCCTGCGTGTCCCCGGGAGGGCCGGCGCCCGCATCACCGTGACATCAGCGCACCGGGCGCCCGCGGCGCTCCAGGTAGGGGCCGGCGCCCGAGCCGAGAACAAAAGCGCGCCGGGCCCTGCCCCCCGCGCCCGGACTCACCTCCCGGCTCCGGCGAGTCGCACTTCCCGGCGCGGGCGGGAGGTCGGAGTTTCTGGCCGGGCCGGCGAGTGGCCTGTGGCCGTCCGCGCCACGCCCCCGGCCGCGGGAGCGCGCACCCCCGCGCGCCCTCACCGGCCCGGCCTGGGCGCGCCCCGCACGTCCACTCCCACCCCCCGCTGGGGCGCTGGCGCAGAGGGACCCAGGAGCGGGGCCCTCTCGGTCACTGTCCCGGGAGCCCCGGGCTCCGGCACCCGCGAGCTGCTGCGGGTCGGAACCAGGCGGGCGCCCAGTCCAGACCCCCAAGTCCGACTCGGTCACGCCTTCGGGGCGCCCCCCGCCCCCGCGCGCCCCTGGGCGACAAGGCACACGTGGGCCGAACGCACGCACCGAGTGGCCGCGCCTCCCGGGTCCCGGGCAAGGAGTGCGCGTGGGACCCCCGCCCTGGCTCCCGGCCCCTTACACGGCCCAGACGCGCGAAGGGCTCCCGGGGGTCCCACTCCCCACCCGCCGCGTTCTGCCGCTCCCGGGCTCGGCGCGCCCCTCGGCGCTCGGTTCCGACCGGCGCTAATTAGCGTCCACGGTTCTGTTCCCCGAGGTGCCGCGCTTAACCCGTTCCCCACGGGGCATGCGCTCGGGGACCCGCCGGCCCTAACCCCTCCGGGTCCCCCGCGGCCCCTCCGAGCTCCGCCCCTTGCCCTGGGGTGGCGGGGTGGCCGGGGCGAGCGCCGCTCGCTGCCTTCCAGCAGCTGGACTCAGCAGAAAGCGACCCAGCCGAGCGGAGCCCAGCTGGGACCTCTCCAGCCCCGCCAACGAGAGATTTTCCTGCCGCCCGCCCCCGGGGGGCTGCGGGCTCCGAAGCGGGGTGGGCGCCGGGGGCCGGGGTCGCCCGGCTGGGCTCACCGAGGAGGGACCTGCTGCCGGGCCTGTCCGCGGCCCAGGGGACAAACGCGGGGGGAGGGGGGGGCGCGCCGGGTCTCCGGGGTGCCCGCGCGCGTGATGCCGGGTCGCCTGGGGGACCGCCAGCCGCGCGCGGTCACCGCCAGCCCCGGCCCGCCCGGCCTGTTTGCTCGGGCCCGCCGTGGGGGTGGGGGGCGCTGCAGGAGAGGAGACCGGTTGCGGGCCGGGCCAAGGACAACCTGGATCAGACTAATGCAAATCGCCCGAGCTGCCCCGGTGATAAGGTTGCCCCACCTCTTTGAATTCCCCGAGGGAATGTTTGCCTAGCGGGCCGGGCAGAGGGGCCCCAGGGTTTCTGGAAGCTTCTCTCCCTTCCCGGAGCCTCGTCCTGGCTGGCTGGTCTGGGGAATGTGGCGGGCTTGACCGCTGCAGTTCTTTGCAATGTCAGGAGCGAGAGGAGAAGAGGCAGAACAGGACCTTACCCTGGCCCTCAGATGAAAGTGTGCAAACTGCGTAAGGGGCAGCCTTGCAGGGCAGGGGGTGCGGCCTTGGAGCTCTGAGCACCTATCCAGTCCCCTGAATCACTTCCCTGACTTCATTAAGGAGCTGAGGGCTGACATGATAGTACAATGGGGAAGGCGCTTGCCTTGCAAGCCTACCCAGATTCTATCCCGTAGGGTCCTCAGAACCATGCCAGGAGTGATCCCTTAGCACAGAGCCAAGTGTGAGCTAAAAACAAACGGGGGGGGGGGGGGGGGGGGTCGGGGGGGGGGAGGGGGAAGCTATAACTGGTATCAGGGTGGGGAAGGCGCGTACAAGGTCATTTTTTAACATACAAAAAAAATCTAATTCCAGAG